ATACACACACACAGATACGTTTACACACAAATTATGATACATACTCCGTACATTTGCCTAAAAGGATAAACGTGTAGTAATCTACGACAACAAAAACAACAACAACAACAAAAACAAAACAATACAAATAAATGTCTATATATATTACGTATATGGAAAATATAAAATACAAACGATTCAAAAGAAAAAAGAAACAAATACTAAAAAAAACCAAAATTATCAAGAGATAAAAAACAAAACAAAGCGTTTTAATAATGAAAGGGCAAAAGAGATTTTTAAGAACTTTAAATTATATATTATATTATATATTTTTGTTATATGATAAAGATTATCAAAAGTAAGTACCAAGTAGCCTGATCTGGGTTTACAGGGTTAAATTTTTACCTTGTAAGGTCTACCTCATGTAAGTCTGTGTGTGCGGGTGTGTGTGTGTGTTAGTGTATGCATGCATGTATGTCTGCATTTATGTATATATGTATGCATGCAAGTTTGTTTTCTAATACCAAAAGCAGACCAAGCTTCTTTGTTGCTGTGCTGCCAATTTAAATAAAACGAATTTCTACCAAGTGCTCTCCTCCTCGATTCTCAAGAATTCATGTAGGCCTTGCTGAAATTCAACAAGGCAGCAAACGTTGGCTCCAACGGCCTGTGGAGGAGCAACTTGTGGCGGTGGAGAAGGAGGCGGTGGAGGGGGTAAGTAGATGCATGTATGTAGATGTATGTAGATGTTGTTGTTAGATGTTCTACGAGGTTGGTAGATGTATGTATGTAGATGTATTTAAGTAGATGTAAGTATGTACATGTATGTATGCAGATGTATGTATGTATGTAGATGTATGTATGTATGTAAGTAAGTAGATGTATGTATGTATGTATGTATGCATGCATGTATGTATGTATGTATGTATGTATGCATGTATGTATGTATGTAGATGTATGTATGTATGTATGTATGTATGTATGTATGTATGTTTGTACATACACATGTATGTTTGTATGCATGTATGTATGTTTGTATGTGTGTGTGTGTATGTATGTATGTATTTATGTACAAATGGTACCCTCAAATATCCCATATAGACATAGGTCAACATTTCCCACTCCCATAACTTAGTCAAAACTCAACCGATTACCATAAGGTTTGACTTTTTGATCATGGTTTGGCCGCTAATTCATATCATTTTTATGATAAAATAGCAAATGCTCAAATTGTATTTAAAATCAATAGTATTGAATGCCATTATCATATCTATCCCAAGACTGATACAACTTTTGACTTCTAGAGGTCCTTTGGATGCTGCTTCAAGATTAAAAACTTGTCATATGTTTGTGAAAACTGAGCTGATTTCTATGATAACTAGCAATTGCTTTGTAGTTTTTCCTCCAATTGGTTTCAGACGTCTAAAAAACTAGAACTCTTTTCTTTTGTACTTACAATATTTTATTTTTCTAAAATAGTTGTGTTTGTTAAAATTTTTTCTCAGTAAAAAAAAATTGTCAAATGTTTTTAAAAGAAATCGACTATAGTAGACGATGTAAGTTCAGTCTGCAAAATTCCAAATCGTCTTTAGTTTGCTTATAGAATCCACAAATATTTATTAGATTACCAAACAGGAAAGGAAACAACAATAGTACTATTATAGTCTATGGTGATATATTGTAACCTAGCAATTATTTTCCATAGATTCCGATAAGTGAGTAGCTCCGTTATCTTCTTCGCGCCCGTTAGCTGCGTTAGCTCGAAGAGCGTGCTCCTATTTATACGGCTCTATGTTGTTGTTTAAGTTGATCATGGGCCAAACATTATCTGAACCGGTGACCACCAAGGATTCGGCGCGCTGCGCGAACTCCTCGTTTCTAGTCGGCAGCAGCTGTATGCAGGGCTGGCGCATCGAAATGGAGGATGCCCACACACATATACTCTCCTTGCCGGACGATCCGGCCGCCGCCTTCTTTGGTGTCTACGATGGACATGGCGGAGCGGCTGTGGCCAAATTCGCTGGCAAGCATTTGCACAAGTTCATTACCAAGCGGCCGGAATACTTTGGCAGCTCCGTGGAGCTGGCCATGAAGCGTGCCTTTCTCGACTTTGATCGCGAGATGCTGCACAACGGCAGCTGGGGCGAACAGATGGCCGGCTCGACGGCCATTGTCGTCCTGATCAAGGAGAAGCGTCTGTATTGCGCCAACGCGGGCGATTCGCGTGCCATTGCCAGCGTGGGCGGCATTGTGCGTCCCCTGTCCGTCGACCATAAGCCGAGCAATGAGTCCGAGGTGAAGCGCATCGTTGCCGGCGGCGGTCGCGTCGAGAACAATCGCGTCAATGGCAATCTGGCCTTGTCGCGGGCTCTCGGCGATTTCATGTACAAGCGCAACACCAGCAAGAAGCCGGAGGAGCAAATCGTTACAGCCGATCCGGATGTGATGGTCTGTGACATGGGCGACGATTGGGAATTCGTTGTGCTCGCCTGCGATGGCATCTGGGATGTGATGAGCAGCACCCAGGTCGCCGAGTTCGTACGCGAACGCATCGCAGCCGGCATGCAGCCGGATCTGATATGCGAGCACCTGATGAGCTATTGCCTGGCGCCGAATGCCTACAACTATGGCCTTGGCGGCGACAACATGACCGTCATCCTCGTCTGCATGCTGCACAACAAGTCCTACGATGATCTGATCATACGCTGCGGCGGCACCAAAAGTTCATCCCTTGAATCCGGCGTGGGCGACATTGGTCCACCTCTGAAGGTATGTAGAATCTGAATTTTATTTACTTATCATTAATGTAATTATCTGAATGGGCGCTTAGTATGCATTGCCCAAAGCTACTCCAAGCAGCCGCAACCTGGAGAATGCCTGATTTGGCATCGAACGGATCGGGGATTTGCAGACTTTGTTTATTTGTTTATCGATTCGAATTCTTTTGGCATGCCATGTTCTGTGAAAGTTTCATCCGTTACCGACATATACTTTTTGTACCTACCATATCTATATATTATTGGCTTCGAGATATATGAGCCCCCCCCTCCCCTCCCCCGGCTCAGCCCAATCACAGAAGATTAAAAATTTCAAGTCGGATATGCTTTTAGTCCACCGTTCAACAGTTCCAATTCAAATGCAATAAAAATTTTGACCTTCAGCCAAAATGTTTATCTTAAAGTGTATTTAAACCAAACTGAACGCTAGATGGCGCTTTCGCCGTTTTGATATTGTAATCGGATTCTGTGCGAAAACTTTGTTAAGGAGTCGAATAGAAGTCAACTGATTGTTCCTTTTGTATCCTTTGTTAGGTATATTGTATAGTTTTGCGATTCTGTTTTAAATCTAAATTTAATTATTGGGTTTTCAATACCGTTGAATACAGCAAAGGGTTTCAGTTATCAATTGTCGATCCATCATTGCCTTGCAATCTATTTGGCGATTGAATCCAGCCTTCTTGTATATCAAAACTATCAAGTGTATGTTTTAAAGTCTGTTTCGACTTTGATAAATAATATATATACTTTATAGGATGTCTCATTTAGCATAAATAGAACAACAACAATAAGATCAGGTCTACGAAAATAATAAAAAATAAAGTATTGCTGGTTCGGTTTGCAGTGCGAACTAACTCCCTGTCCTTAGGTCTGGCTATGGTTCCTCGCTTTCTACATCCCTGAACTTCGATTTTGGTTCAAGTCGGGCTTGCCATATATTATACAAATTTTAACTAAACACTTCAATTTTTGCATAATGTAAGCTCTAACCCAAAAGTTTCTTTTAAACAGCTTTGCGTTCTCGTTTGGTTCATAGTTCGGTTACAAATCGTAAAAGTACCCTCTGCAAATAAATAGAAAGAAAAACAAGCATGGGATATTTCTCATTTTCAGGGATCGGTGGATCACTCGTTTAATTTGAATAAATGTGCGTTTCTATAATACATAATGTACTCTATATGTCTATGAATACATATACATATTCATGTACAATATCTTTGGTCTGTTTTAGCTGTAGGTTCTGTAGAGTATACAAAATGCAGTGAGTCGAGAAAGAAAAGCAAAATATAAACAATACAAGTAATAATACAAAGAGCTACAAGAGAAAAATACACATAAATTTACAAAATAATCGAAAGACGACTTGACAAATATACAAAATATATAGGCAACTATCTATATATATACATATATCTTTATATATATATATATATATATATATATATGTTAAGTTTTGGTGTGTAGAGGCTAATTAGTGTTATGTCAATTATTATTGCACCACATGCGGCCGTAAAGTGCTTAAAAATAACGCGACACATGCATCGAATACCGCACCGATCCCGCGACCCCCAGCCGCTTGAGGAGGGGCGGGGGCGGGGGGGGGGGGGGGGGGGCTGGGTTGGCGGGGTCAATGCGTTCGGCACACGCTGCATTTTAAAGATACAAGACTAGAGATTCGCTCGTTCTTGGACTTCCGTGCAGATGCAGGAAATCGCAATGCCTTAAACAAAAGAATTCTTCTTCCTTTTTTTTAAACGTATTTGGTAAGTAATATATGGCAAAAATAATATGTATATATATGTATTAACTATATATGTGCGTAAATTCTAAAATCAGCGACTCAATTAAATCGTATTGTGTATATAAATCGCATAGATATACATTGTTGTCTCTCTCTATATATATGTATATATATATAATGTGGTCTAAAAGAAAAAAATACTGGTTACATGTTTTTTCTGCAAGTCTCTAAATCCTCGTTACAACTAAGTGTAGATCGTTCGATTAATTAAGTTCTGCCAACTGATATTATTATTATTATTAATTTTTGTGTTTTTTTTTTGTTTTTTTTTTGGAATCGACTACTCTCTAACGGTATTTTAGCTCTTTTTTCATATTTATCACATATTTGTTTACTACAATAAGCTCCTAAAAATCGAATGCAAAATGGGTTTTCTTTTGTTTTTGGTTTGTTTTCCTGTTAATATTTGGTTTTGTTTTGTTTTGTTTTTTCTTTGAGGCATCTCAAAATTCTGTAAATCTCTCTCTCGCTTGTCTTTTTACAATCAGCTGGGCGGCTGGGCGTGTCTAGGCGACCATCGCATAGTTGCCGGTCAGCTCGAAGGGACTCGTCTTGGCCGAATGCGTAAAATTGTTCTTGGGCGAAAAGTCAACGGGCTGCTCCTGATCCCCCGCCGCCGTCGACGCCGCCGCCTCGCTGCCAGCTGACTGTGCCCCGGCATGTCCATAATGCTGATAGGTCAGACCCCGGGGCAGCGGCAGCGGCAGCGGCAGTGGCAGCAGCTGCTCCTGATACAGCGCTGCGGGATGCTGCAGCACGGTTGTCGGCTGCAGAATGCCATTGCGCTTGTAGCTCTCGTAGTGCTCTAGTTGGGCGGCAAATGCATCCGCATGTCCAGCAGCTGCCGGATAGCCATAGGCCAGGGCAGCCTGTGCCTGGGCCTGCGCTTGGGCTTGGGCTTGTCTGCGTTCCTTCTCCTTCTGCAGCAGCTTGTGCGCCAGCGTTGACTTGGCCGAATCCGGCAGAGATGTGCTTGATGTCGTTGTCGTGGTTGTTGTTGCTGCCGGCTCCAGCTCCGGCTGCTGCTTGGACATGGAGAGCAGCTGGGCGGCACGCGGCTGATTCGCTGGCTCGCTGCGATTCTTCATGCAGGAGGACTCCTCGTGCTTGTACAGATACGACTTGAGGGCAAAGGCCTTGCCGCAGCGGGCGCAGGTGTGCGGCTTCGTGTTCGAATGGGTTTGTATGTGTGCGCGCAGATTCGACTTGTCCGCAAAAGCCTTGCTGCAGACGCTGCACTTGAAGGGCTTCTCGCCCGTGTGGGTGCGTATGTGGCCCTGCAGCAACCAGGGCCGCGAAAAGCACTTGCCGCAATACTGACACTCGCAGCCCTGGTTGTGGGTGCGCACGTGCATCGAGAAGGCCGGCATCGACACGTACACCTTTTCGCAGTAGGGACAATGTCGCGCCTTCTTGTCCATAATTGACCTAAGGTTGGGGAAGAAAAACAAAAATTTGAATAGTTTTAGTCGAAGATTAAATACCCTTGCTGGCAGTTAATATGATTGTTGATCTTAGCTTAACTTGGTTTTCTTTAAAAAGAACTACATTTTCTTTTAAGAATGTATTCCTGATTCAAATGTGGATCAGTTTCTTATTGGGAACAAAGTTTATCACTGGTTCGGTTCACGGTTCGTTCACCGAACTCCCAGATCCATGAACCTTATTGAAGTTTTTGTTTCGAATCTTGGCTTGATTCTTCTTTTTTTTTGCAACATTTTTTAAAATTCTACTATTTTTTTTTTATTTTAGTAGTACCAAAATCGTTATCGATTTTTCTAAATATTTTATATTAAATCTTTAAAGAATTTTAAATTATAAAATTTATCTGAAAATATTCAAACAAAATTTTGAATTGAAACAAATGATTGTTTAAGGAGCAAATTATTGGTTTCTTTGGGCTACCAATTCGGTTCGTTTTATTCTAAAACAAGTATTGGAATTCTGGGTTCGAACCATCGGGTTTGAAAAGTTGGTTCAAACCGAACTGGCAGCCTTGAATATTACCATAGTGAAGCTTATATTTGTATGTTGAACTAAGATATCTTTAAACACACAAAAGCTTTTGTTGGATTGTTTCTATGGGAGCTATAAATATAGCTATAATTATAGCTATAGGAAATATTGTGGAAAACAAAAAGAAATACATATTTTCGAGTGATTGGATCTTAAACGACGTGTGCTATAGTAGATCATTTACATTTGCTGCAAAAGGGTATCAAAATAGTTTTATCTCGCGACTTACCTGTGGGTTTGTCTATGGCGCGCCAGATTGGAGGATGTGGAATACTTCTTGCCGCACTCGGGGCAAATGTGCTCATCCTCAAGCAAATTGCTGCCGGTGCTGCTGTTGCTGCTGCAGGGCGTGGCCTGGTTGGGCGACTGCTCGCCGGACTGGCAGCTGCTGCTGCAGTTGCTGGTGATGCTGGCGCAGGAATTCGAGTCGGAGATGGTGCAGCGACGCAGTTTCCTGCGATCGAACACCTTGTGGCTGTACGAGTTGTAGGTGGAGTCATCGTCGGATGAGGCATAGAATATGCTGCTGCTGCTGCTGCCGCTGATGTTGTTGTTGTTGCTGCTGCTGTTGCTGGCCATTGGCTTGCAGTAGGCCGCAGCTTTGGCTGGTGCGCCGAGCGGTCCGGCCGCCAGTGTCACATCCGCCAGCTGGGTGAGATTGTACAGCTCCTCGGGTATGGGCGTCGCCTGCCGAACCTTCCACATGTCTGCGTCTGCAGAAAACAGAAAAGAGAAAAGCGACATCAGCATTGGATTCGATGCGTGGCTCGGGCATGACGTATGCGACAGAAAGGTGAAGCAACCTGCTAAATGCGCAACAGATGCGTCATTAACAACGCCACGATGACAGCCACACGGGCGAAATTTAAATCAAAACCACAACAACAACGAATTCTAAAGATTATAAATATTTTCGCTATGTCGCAGACAAAACTAATACATAATTTAATGAGCTCTCAGCTCTTGGTTACCCTACGTAACGTCGGGCATAGCGCTGCCAGCGCACAGCCTGTCGCTGTCGGACTGTGTAGGGTATAGAAAAAACCGAATATTTCATATTTATTTCAACAATTTATAATTAAGGACGAGCCAAGAGGCCAACGTGGCTGTGCCCAAAGTCGTTGCTGCATTCAGCGTCGTCACCTTGTCGTTTGCCTGAGGTTGCCCCCGCCTCTGCTGCTGCCTCTGCTGCTGCCTCTGCTGTTGCTGCTGCCTGCCACACGGGGCGTATGATTAACGTCAGCAGGCATCGGCATCGGCACCGGCATTCGCATTCGCAATCGCAATCGCACTTGTTGGCTGCTCGCTGTTCGCGATCTTAGAAATAAATTCACGTCGAAATGCGCATAATTTGTGCATGTTGTCTTGGCATTGATTAATCTCGCACGTAATTGCCTCCTCCTAACCAGCCCACCTGCCTAACTATCTATATGTTCTAAACTGCAGGCAGGTGGAGCTTTATCTATATTTAAGATATAATACAATAATAATAAAGAATCTAGCAACTATTCACTGACAGCTAAGCTTAGCCCGGCTTTTACAACAGATACTTTTTAGATATTCAGTTTCCTGGTCTTAACTTGACTTAACTATTAATTTCATAATATTCACTTTTGAAATAAATAAGTAAACATATATACTTATTATTCGTATTCCATATTGTTCATAAATTAATTGCTACTTAAACCAATTGCGTAAAAAAAGTTAATCTTTAATCTACATTCAACATTTACTTGAATCTTTTTCCCGAATCGAATCCACGTTAACCTATAATCAATATATATTCAAATAATATATAATCAAATATTCAATTTTCAAGTTTATGGAACTTTGGAAAATTCTCTGCTCTAAATTATATTTAAAATATATTTTTTGTCAAGTTCGTTTTGTTAACCAAGATAAAATGCATATCTATAATGAAATAATATTGATTGAAAAATATATTTTATTTTTTTTTGGACAAATGTAACACCTGACTGTACCTTAATACATAAAAGTTAATCGACCCTATAAGCTATTTCCTTCCCCCTAACCTGCCTTATTGCAATTATATTTCAAATATTTCAGTTCCTTCTTTTTAGTTGTTTATTTTTCGGCATTTTGGTGAACATTTTGTTGCGTATTTGTTAAATTTCCACGTAAAAGTATAATTGTGAACATACCGTGAATTGGCCAAAGGGCAGTTTCATCACCTGCATACCCTATAATATGAACGAACCATTCAATTTGCCAGGCAATCAAATTTTATATTTCCGATCTCACTTCGCTGTTGTTTATTGTTGAAAGTTTTCTCTTTATTTTTCGTAATCGTCTAAATAATCGATTATATCGTATGGCCACAACAACAACAACAACAGATACCAAGAGGGGAGGGGGGAGGGTGTGTGTGGGGGGCTTGGGGTGTGGGGTCTCTGTCTTGGGAATGTACGCGTTGCGGAGGTCATGTGCGCGTTTTCGTTTTGTTTGTTTTTCTTTTGCCTTCTCTTGTGCAGCGGCTGCCGTTTTCCGTTCGGCCTGAGGCCGGCCGCGTGATGTGGGCGTGGCTGCGCCTCAGCCCCCCGCCAGCCCAGAAAAAGTCGCTAGTTGGGCAGCTGGGCAGGCATTTGGCCTAAACACATCGAGCTGCCAGACTTTTGCAACCTGTTGCCTGCTTTTGGCTGCCCATTCTCGTATTTGTTGTTGTTGTACCCGTTAATAGTTGTTCCTGCGGCTGCCGAAAATGTTCGCAACGAAATTAAATTCGTTGAGTACATCAAAATGTTTGTGGTCATAAAACTCGTGGCTGGATTGTGCGCGCAGCGGCAGGTGGCAAAGAATGTGTGCCACCCCCCCCACCCCCAACCCCCACCCCGCACCCCCCACACGCCTACGCCCATGAAAATTTCCCATCTAAAGCAGCCCATCAATATTGGCTATGATGTATGCGAGTGGGAGCTGAGATCCGCACCAGACACACATATATGTGTGTGTGTGTGTGTGCATAATTTGTGCCTTAACATTTATTTATACTTAATAATCGGCGGAGGCGCCCCCCCCCCCCCCGTTGACATGCCGCAACCACCTGGTAATTTTCCCCGATTTAACCAGCATACCTGTTCCACAGAAATTTCGGCTAAATTATTTATAGTATTTTGACCAACAGAGATATTCGTCTGAAATTTGTTTTTTGTTGTGATTTTCTTTTTGTTTTTTTTTTGTTTTTTTTGTTGCCAATTTTTGATTGCGAAGTGGCCAAGACACAAAATGGAAACAAAGCTGACAAGTGGGAAAATTTTGGTGCTTGGCAAAGAGCTCCCCAAAACGCTGGGCGAGGGACATGTCTGTGTGCAATGTTTTCGATGTCACCAAGAACGAAAAGTCCGAAAGTCGCATGTTTCTCTGACAGGCCGTTAATTAATTATTCGTTGGCCCGTGCGCCGATCGCAGTTCCCAGTTCCCAGATCGCAGATCGGTAATCGCATATGACATCTCAAAGAGCAGGAAAAAGCAACAGCAGCAGCAGCAGCACTGCAAAACGTTAATTGGTGCAGGTCTCTGCAAAGTGGCATCCAACAGAGGGGATGATCGGCGGCCGGCAGAGGGGCATGAAACATGTGGCACATGTTGCTATATTCAAATCGAACCGCATTAATTTGGTTTAGACAATTTGAAGATGATTATAGTCGAATTTACGTGTCATTTAATGCTTTATTGGCTGTTTTTAATAATTTAAGCAAATTTCGCTCGTCTGCTGTAACTTTCAGCTACTGCAATTAATACATACATAAACACTTCATGAGCTTAACTAATTCGCAACTGTTGAAAAAGTATCAGCAAATAATGCCCAATCACAATTTTATAGCAAAGCAGTGCATCGTTTACGAATAAGCCACAAAGAGGAATAAGCAATTAAATGCGCTCTCGAGGAAATGAGTGACAGCAATGTGAGTGATAGTCAAACGTTTACGAACTAGACACAAAGAGGAATAAGCAATAAAAATGAGTTATAACAATGTTTGTGATAATCAAAAGTTTACGAACGAGACACAAAGAGGAATATGCAAATATTTGCTCTCTCGAGAAAATGAGTTGTAACAATGTGAGTCATAGTCAAACGTTAAGGAACGAATCATAAAGCGGTATAAGCAATGAAATACTCTCCCGGGCAAATGCGTTACAACAATGATTGTGATAGTCAAACGTTTACGAACAGGACACAAAAAGCACTCAAGAATCAAGTGCTCTCGCCAGAGATTAGGAGCTAAGAGTATAAATGCATTTGTGAATCTGATTCGAATTCGCACCAACAGATCTTAATTTTAGGATTGAAATTCTATTGGATATGATTTATATAATTTATATGTTGTATACTTAATATTCAGCTGTGCTTGGAAATCTTCGTATATGATCTTTTATAAGCCCACATAATCGCATCTCGTTTATAATATTGTTCTATTATGGCAACAAGACAACGTATTTAAATTATTTACCACATGCTGCCTCTCATCAACTCGGCCCCCATAGAATGAGGCATCCAAAAGTGTTCCGAATGCATTCTGTAAACGCAACGCACAATGGACATGAAAATGCTTTTCTGTCTTTTCTTTCTCTTTTTTTTTACGGTTAAGAATCTGCTCAAAATGCTCTCGGCCCGAAGAAAGTTCAAAGTCCTGTTAATGTACACAAAGCAAAGAAATGTTAATGGCTGACGTGGAGGCGGGGGCGCTGACGCTAGAGGAGGAGGAGGAGGAGGCGGCGGCGGCTGGCGACAGCGTTGGCCTCGGTGGCCTTTACCAACGGCCGGTGGCTGCGTGCCACGGGATCGAATGCGCGTTTGGACTATTTATAAACCGCAGCCAGGGCAGGAGAAATGCGCATAGTTTACATTTAAGTTCAAACTTGAAAATAAATGCACACATGCACCGATAAACAAATGTTGGCCCGTGTAGACGGGGCAATGCGGCGCCTGCTGTGCTGGCCGGAGTGTCAATGCCAGGACTTGCCCCCCTTCCCCCCTCTGCTTGCTATGCACACATCGACTTCCTGAATACCCTGCCCCCCTTTCGAGCTGTTTGGCTGCGTTGATCTTTTTGTTTATAGCTCAATCAGCGCTGGACTCATTTGCCGTCGCATTGGGCACATGTTTACGCCACCTAATTATAAACAATATCAGTCCGGGCAACGGGACACAAAGGATCTCAGTGCTGTTTACATGTATGTGGAAGTGAATGTAAATATCCAATCAGTTGGTTCTCTCGCTTCTGGTTTACCTGAGGTTTACTAGAGGCTACAAATTATCAGCCTAACCTAGCCCAATCTAACCTGTATCTAAATGTATCTACCCATCTATATCTATCTGTCTATCTATCTATCTATCTATCTATCTGTCTATCTATATCTAGGTTGGGGATTCGAACCTTCTTGTTCAGTTGACTGCATGACTGGGATTTTATTTACTTGGAAAATTTTGTTTTTCAACACTTTTCCTGAAATTCTACGCAGTTTCTTCCGTCATAACGACGCATTTTGTACACTGCATGACTTGGCTGAAAATAATTGGCCATATTACATATATATATATATTTATACTATCCAAACTGTTTACGCAACTAACTAGAAAGAGAAAGCATTAGCAAATTGTCAACAGCTCTTTGGTTTTTGTGGTTTTTGTTGTTGTTGTTGTTGTTGCAGGGCAGTTGATGGCTGCATCCATCTGCTTGGCCCGATCATTGCCAATGCAAACACATTTCTCACGTAAATGTCAAAATATCAAAGAAATCATAATATTAATTTAACAAGTGCGGTCCAAACTCTCCCTCTCTCTCACTCTCTCGCTCTCTCTCTCTGTCGCTCTCTCACTTTGCGGGTCGTCGAGGCGATAATTTAAAGAAAAAATGTGCTCATGTGCCAACATTCGTCTTTAATATGTATAAGAATAGCCGCGGGGAGGACCAGATGATAGCAGAAGGGTTGCGTATTGGAGCAATTGTGTAATTCATAGACGAGTCCAAATGCTGGGCATGCCCAACAGCCCTATAAAACATAGAGTATATACCCAATTTAGGATAAGGTATAGGTACGAATTATCAATCCAACTATAAATTATGGCACTAAGACTACATCCTGGGACTCGAACCAAAATGTAAACTTTTAAGTATAGTTAAACTACTCGAGTTATTCACTCGAACTATGCGAATCGAACGCGTACTCACCCTAGCAGTAACGAGTGCTGTGGATCAGGAAGCGAATCCGTGTGAGTACCCTCTGCGGGAGGTTAACTGAAGCGTGCTCAAGCGGCGCCGGTCCAATGGGTTGAATATATGTATGTATGTTGCTTGGCTCGCAATGCGAACTGATGATTCAGCCAGAATGTTTGGGTGTCGATGCGAAATCAATAATATATCACCACGCACTACACCCTGCCCCTCCCCCTTTGTGGGTGTTCAGCTTCGCTGTCAGAATATTCTTGCTCGTTGTTGCGTCTGGGCTACACGTATTTCACGAAATTTCATCACAAGCAAGGAACAATAACAAAAGAACTGGGCACCAGATACAGATACAAATACAAATTGAGATACAGCTTCAGATACGAGATACAAGTAATGCACAAGTGTTTTTGGCCCGACTACTGATCCGATCCTCACCAATTGCTATACGGATCACAGGCAGGCGGCAGGCAGGCAATGTTGTTGCACGGTACGCGCACTCTCTCGCTCTCTCGCTCTCTCTTTTTAGTACGAACGCAACGAGATCTCAGAAAGAACTGAACTTTCTTGGCGCTGGCACTTACAGTTTTTACATCGCTGCTGCCGTCGAGGAGGTGACGATGCCGCCGCCGGCGTCGCCGACGTCGCCGACGACAGCCGACAGCCAGCAGCTGTTTGGCCGAGGATCGACCGAATGCTTCGCGGAGAGCGTCGCGGATGCGCGCCCCAATGGAACAAGTGTGTGCGGTTTAAAAATAAGTTGAAAATAATGTTTTTATTCTACACGCTCTCTCGCTCTCTCCAACTTTTGCTCTCGCTCTCTCGCTGCAGCCGCGCACATTTTCCAAAAGGGAGCCAAGCGCGCACACACACACACACACACAGACATTTTCGCCGTGCTGCGGGCAAGGACCACTGCGCAGAATATTTTTCTAACGCAGCGTCAAGTTGGCAGCCAGTGTCAAAAACCTCACAGAGTGCTGCTGCTCCGATCGCCGATGCCCCCATGCCGCAGCAAACCCTAACGAAAGAGAGAGCTAGGCAGAGCGAGAGAGCGAGCGAGAGAGAGAGCGAGAGTGAGAGCAGCAAACGCAGCGCCGCGGTTGGCAGTTTCTACCGTTTCGGATTCGAATTCTGGGGCCGTTGATGGTGACGCAGTCGGGCAATTTGGCATTTTGAAATGGCTTTTTGTACTTTGGCGTGCCCATCCAAAATAGATTTGCTCACCTGCCGTACTCACCCTCAGCCCGCACCCTCCCCCCTCCTCCTTCACGCCACCTTCACGTCTGGCCAATCCCTTTTCAAACGAACGGATTCCACACAGGTGTTGTCGGCAGCTCTCAACATTTGACTAGCTCAAGCGTAATGAACTTAATGTCGCTCTGTCAGGTGTGTTGCCTCGGCAATGGGGCTTCTTCTGAAATATCTTTGGCGGGGAATTGGGCATCGCACTTACGTACGTATTTGCCATATTCTATAATCATACCGCATTCTACTTGATTTATGTCTCTTGTATGCACGTTGTTGTCGCCTTGATTCCGTTCTGGTTCTAAGTGGATTTTGTTGTTGCCCAGAGATTTATGTATATACATAGCTGCCGTTGCAGTTGCACGCATTAAATATAGAAAATATTGAGCGATCGTAAACAATAATTCTTGGTCAATAATAATTTTAACAATAATTAATAACAATTTTGTGCTTCTTTCAATTCTCATTTAAGCATTTAGAGGTTATAAAATCATATACAAAATTTATAGGACATCCTTAGTTCTTATAGCCGACCAATTAGGCTTATAAGGGCAAGGATCTAGAGATCTGCGCGGGACTTATCGATACTTGAATTGTTAAAACTACTCAAACTACTCATATTTATAATCGATATAAGCTAGCGATTCTTACCAACACTACTCTAAATGCATATAACAGTAGTATAACACAGTTTGTGGAGCTTTGCAAATTGTGCAGCACGGCCTATTTTCGCACTTCTGCGAACAACAAAGAAAATGGAATGGATGAAGATAAAGATGTGCGATCCACAGCTGAAGGCGTTGTCTGGTGCGAACATGGAAATGCAATTTGAATGCCATAGGGTCAAGTTGGGCCAGCGCCTGGTCCAAGAAAATGGCGAGACTGGCGACAAAGCGCCTACGCGAGGGCGCAGTGGTTGCTGGGGGCGGAGAAGGAGGAGACTCGAGGAGGCTGTAGATGGACTCTTTGTAGGGGTAAACAACGTGACATGTGCTAAAGACATTCGTGGCAGTCGACTTCGACTTTAATCACGGCAATTAATAAGAGAGAGTAGCGCAACTCTGGCCATGGCCTCGCCTCGCCTCGCCTGGCCTGGCACAAAGGAAGGAAGTGGCAGCCGGAGAGTCCACGATAAGCTAAGCTGCTTCAGCTGTGGCAAGCATCACCCAGAGCGCTGCGATTCTTGAAACCGACGCGACTGGCGGCCATAAATCTATTTTGGTCCTGCTGCTCCAGCAGCCAATCTCCCGCCGCTCTCGCTGCCCAGGGGCAGGGGCCGGGGGCCACACTTGCTGCGCAATTGCAGTTGCGGTTGCCGATGTTGCAGAAGCCGGGACTCTTTATTTTTAACTGGCGCGATGCATATTTGTGCTGGGCTTCGCAACGGTTCTTTGCGTAGGTAAAATGCAGCTGGAGATGCGGCTATAAATTCCGGAGAACAACAGCGCAGCGCCGCTTTTCCAATTATTTACACAGATAAATAAGCGAAATCGCCTTAATGTGAAATTCAACAGGCAGACAATAAAATAAGAACAAGGCGAAAATGAAAAGATATGGTAAGAAAAAGAACCAAAATATTTCGCATTTCGCTTTTGTGTAAATAATTTTATAATCGATTTCAAATTAAAGTCTTTAGCTTGCGGTTCCATAAATTATCCGTTAATCTCTTTCGAATTGCTCGGAGTTCGTTGCGTTCCCACATAAAAATTGCCCCCCCCCCCCCCCCCTTTCCGGCACCAGCCCGCGCCTTGGGTCCAATTGGACCACGTGATGGTCAAATTGATTTTCCTTGTATATAATCTACCTAGATCTTAGATCTTTAGCTACTCGAGTGGTTGCCATTTCGTCACCCAATTCGAGCAGCGCGTCCTGTTTACAGGAGTCGTTTTGTTGTTTAAATTATGGACAATTACTCAAAAGATTGTTTAGATCGGAAGGCAGCGGATTGCTTGGTGTGATCCGTAAAGTGGTCGCCCTCGAGCCAGCACTGGGCCGGATATGCTTGTAATTCCTGCACCGGATCGGAGATGCGTTCGAAGTCGGGGTCGCCTTTCAAAGAGGCGAGGTAGAAAAAAAGAGAACTACACCATAAAGTTCTATTTATAAGGCTGCTGAAAACACGAACGCCAAGTTTTGATTCGGTGGCGGACTTCAATTGGGGGAGTTGTCGAGAGACAAGGGGGCGGCGGAGGTGGAGGCGCAGGGCTCGAGCTCCAAATGTGCGCCGGCTAAATTTGAATTTGAAGTGCAAGTGAAGCGACCAAAGATTCCATAGGTGGCTGCCACTTTGCGCTAGGCGGCAGCCGAGGACGGGTTGCCCCTCTCTTTGGCCTGTGCCGCCGCCACTTGAGTGGGTTGGAGCGGGAGCGGGTGGGAGAGAGAGAGAGAGAGGGGGGAAGATAGCAGATAGCATCTGCATGTGCAACATGCGAGGCAACCTGCAGCCGCATCCAGCAGCATGGCGAAGACACGCATGGAAGGCATGTATGCACACACACACATACATATGTATGTACGATACAACTATACGGCTACCGTGTTAAAATTCAAAGAAACAAAAGCGGAAATGTTGTTGTTTTCTTTATTTTTAACAGCAACAAGGCAACAACTAAAACAAAAACATCATCCTCATCATCATCATCATCATCGCTACTGGATGCTTTTATATGGCAATTGAAATGTTTTGGTCATTGAACTTTTGTCTTTAATTAGATCTATCGGTGGCGACTGTTGTTATAAGTTAATATGTGCGTAATAATATCTTGGCCTACAAGTTATATATTGTAGTTTTTCAATGCTCGGCAATGGCGTTGCCAACCACATGCATTCGAGTTATACTGGCAATCGTATAACAGCCCTGTCCATCAGTTAACAGTGTCAACTGGGCATAACAGTCAGTTAACAATTTGTAACTGCTGTTTTTCAAATCGCTCGTAAGATAACTTCTTGTTCCAGTAAATACAATACTAATCAACATCCGGCTCTATTATGAAATTTTTAAAATTATTATTTATAACATAATAATTAACAGTAAGCCAGAAGATCGTCATTCTGATTCGGGATCCGCGAGCACCTGGCAAGCATAATCGGCACTTCAATTAATTCGGTTTTGATTTTATACAAGAAAATAATACTTTGCCTTCGTCATTCTCATCTTTTTGCTCTGCTTTTGGATCTTCATTTCGTTCTTCCTTTGCCTCTTGTTTTGGCTCATCTTTTGGCTTTTGAATCGGCTCCTCTTCCGGCTTAGGTTTATGCTCCTGTTTAACCTCTTTTATGCCATTAAAAACTTCAAAAGTATATCCCTTCGATATACAGAATGCCAACGCGGTGTTATCAATAATAATCATACCGATATCCGGACAGAAAACTGTGGGCTCATCAGTGTATTCATACCTGTTTCTTGCGGCTACATCTCTAGCTATTTATACATACAATACATCCAATAAAAGGTAAATAAGTATACTGATGACATGTGCATATAACATATCCAATACTTATTTAATTATAAAAATTATTTTTAATTCTATCTTACCCAGATCGATTATATAACCGACGTTCGCTGAACGTAAATTCTTACATCCTATAGCGCACTTATGCTCAATTTCGGGTAATTTGACAAAGTAAATATATGATCTTTCATCGTTCTGATCGTAGTTCATTACGGTAATCATAAGGCTACTAACTTTGATATTAAGGTTTAAGTAGGATAATGTTAATGTAACTAGCATTAAAATGTATTGCTTGATCGATTTTGTCACCAATTTCAAGTCACTGTTTTCATAGCCTGCCGCAGTGCATAAAAATGTACCTGTTTAAATTCAAATTTAACAGCTGTTAGATGGCACCAATTTATCGTGTTGCATAACAGAGCCTTAACAGAGCCATCTAAACTATCGATATTTCTCGCGAATCGACTATGTCTGCACGATATTTCTAGTTATCGCGAAGTTGTCACAACAATGTCATATTCGTGTTAAGCATTAGCAAATTGTGAAATTTACGTGCTTAAAATTGCGAAAAAACCATGAATTCTTATTTGCGGTGTTGAAAGGAACTTGAAAAATTCGTAGCAAACAGTTTGCAAAGTTATTTCACAGTCCTTGCAACATACAAAGACAAATATTAATTGCTTGCAAAAAACATGGCGCCCACTCCGCTGCCACTGGAGCAAATGCCCGGTGCCAATGCGGGCTATCTGCCCGCTGGGCAGGAGGGAGGACCGCGCATCAATACCATGTCCATGTCAGTGCTGATCGATTTTATTATCCAGCGCACCTACCACGAGCTGATGGTCCTGGCTGAACTGTAAGTAGACTAGATCCAGTTGGTGCTGCGACTGACGTTCCCGTTGTTTATCCTACAGATTGCCACGCAAGACGGATATGGAACGCAAGGTGGAAATTTACGCGTATGCGGCGCGCACGCGGCATCTATTCACACGGCTCAACGCTTTGGTCAAGTGGGGCAACTCGGTTTCCAAGGTGGACAAGAGCTCTCAGATTATGAGTTTTCTGGACAAGCAGAACATGCTGTTTGTAGAAACGGCCGATATGCTGGCTCGCATGTCGCGCGAGACGTTAGTTCGGGCACGTTTGCCCAACTTTCACATACCCGCTGCCGTCGAGGTGCTGACCACGGGCACCTACAACCGGCTTCCCACTTGCATTCGGGAGCGTATTGTGCCGCCGGATGCCATTACACCGGCGGAGAAAAAGCAAACACTTTTGCGCCTGAATCAGGTCATACAGCATCGCCTTGTTACTGGGAAATTGCTGCCGCAAATGCGAGAATTTCGCATACGCAACGGACGTGTCACGTTCGAGGTGAAGCACGAGTTCAGTGTGGCCCTCACCGTCATGGGCGACAGTCCGAATGTGCCCTGGCGCCTGCTGGACATCGATGTGCTGGTTGAGGACAAGGAGACGGGCGGTAAGAGACTACTAACCAACTTTATTTTCCCAACTATACCAAAGTTTTTCTCTGTTCCTATTTCGATAGACGGAAAGTCGTTGGTGCATCCGCTGCAGGTCAACTACATACACCAACTGATACAGGCACGTCTCGTGGAGAATCCCAACGCCTTGAGTGAGGTGTACAATTGCCTTCATTATTTCTGCCAGTCGCTGCAGCTAGAGGTGCTCTATACGCAGACGCTCCGCCTGAATTACGAGCGCCTCGACGACAACAATATCACTGTGGAGGAGTATGTGCCTGGCGTTAAGCTCACGGTGTCCTATTGGCGCGATCTCAAGTCGGAGCTGGGCTACCGCCTTACGGTTCAATCGGATCCCAGCGAAATCGGTCGGCCGCTGGTCGTTGTTCATGTACCCTCACTGGGCGCCAAGGAGTCCGCCGAGGTGGCTGATCGTGCCGTGCGCTCCGAGCATCTGTCCATGGAGCGCTTGATTGTGCACACCGTTTACATACGTTCCGTGGCTCGTTTGAGTGATCTTAAGCTCGAGTTTCAGGCCTTCCTCAAGGACGTTGACTGTGAGTGTAAATATTTATTCAGTTATTTTTGCCTATTTTTATTTGGGTATTCTTTAATGCAGCTACTGATATTTTTCCCTTCTTTTCAGTTAATCTGCAAGGGACGCCGGCTATTCTGACGGTGCCCGTGCTGTCACCCTGCTTGCGCGCGGAACAAATTCACATAACCATAGACACGCACACCGGCATGTTCCGTTGCCATGTGCCCAAGCACTTAGATTGTCCCATTACGGAAGAGATGCAGGACTGTTTAAATACGGATCGGAGCAAGCTGCCAGCATTGCTATCGGAGCTGCGCTATTGGATCACTCATCGGCGCTGCGAAAAAACGCTACAACATCTGCCCGCTACGGCCACAGAAACGTTGCCCTTTCTCACGCTGCCCGAGCAGGAGCTGCTGCAGCCGGGCCGTCACAAGATCTATGTAAAGCTGCATCGCCACCCTAACATTATTCTGGTAAGTAAATATAAAATCTATGCAAACAGCTCAAGTAAAGCCCTTATTTTACTTCCAGGTGGTTCAATTGAAGGAGAAGCCTGCTATGCCCAACGAGATGGAGTATACGTTTCATTTGGGCTTTGTCGTCTTTCAAAAGGACGAAAACGATATTGTGGATGACTCTGCTAAGCAACTGGTCTCCATTGTGGCTCAACCGCCATCAGAGATTCCCAAATTGTACACAAAACTGATGCGTCTCATCGAGTTTGACACATTTGTGGCCACCCATGGACCCGGCACAGAGGTCGATGGTGAGTTTTATTTGATCCTACTAGCATACAGTTAATAATCTTCATACACTTCCAGCTGAGGTATCACCGCATAAGCGTAAATCAAATGGCGACATTCTGGCACCGCCCGCCAAGCAGCAGAAGACCATTTTTCCGGCATATTTCATACCGGAGCTGGCGCATGTCGTAGCCATGTGTGATGAGAAGATACCGTTCCTCAATCTGGCACAGACGCTCTCCAAGCACCGCATACCGCATAGCGGCCTGCAAGTGGAGGCGAATGCCACCTCGCTGGTGTTAAAGATTCTGGCGCTGCCCCAGCCAGGCATCAACAACCAGGGAACGACAACAACTGGCGAGCAGAAGCCAACGCCAGCGCCAAGCACATCGTCTGCGTTTCCCAAGATCGAGCCGCATGTCTGGGACGATCTAATGCGACGCGTTCTGTCCATTTCGGTGCGCTCTCAGACCAATAAGAATAGTCAGGTGCGCATCTGGGTGGTAGAATTTGTATTCTATAGCACACCGCTGCAGAGTACCCATCAGAAGGAACTGGGCAGTCGTCGCACCATCAACCTAACCTACGAGCAGGCCAATCATGATTTTTCCAAAACGGTCGACGATTTGCTTAACGACTGGTCCAAGATAGTGTACCTATATACGCTGGTTTATGATTTTGCCGAGCAGCTGCGCAACAGTTAGTACCGCCAATTCTTGAGCTTAGCTATATTTATTTATATAATTTCTTATACAGAGCGACTCAGCCTGGGAGATATGCTGGTGGTCAAATCCTATACGTATGCCAACTTGCTGCTGGGCTATGGACCCAAGAAGGAAGTCACCTGCAATATCTACTGGTCCGTGCAGTCGCACGGCTTTCGCCTGACCTTTGTGGGCGGCATCTCAGCGGTCAACGCGCACTCCATGATGCGTGATCAGCTGGCGCAGCATCTGAATCAACAACACAGTCTCACGACCATCGCTCACATACTGCATGAGACCTATAATCCCATGAGCTCCATAGCCAAGCTGCCTGTTTTGCCACTGCTGGGCATACCGGTGAGCATTAAAGCAATATTTTCTATGTTTAAAAATATATATAACTCTTGTTGTATTTACAGCGGCCGCAGGTGCCCGTGCTGTCGTTCTGCATGCTGCCACAGTCGCCCTGCCTGATGCGTCTGACCTACCAGGCGGTGTATTGCTTGGAGTTGCGTTTCCGCGCCAACCGGCTTGTCTCCATACGCGATGGCGCCAGCAGCCGTTTTGAGCGCAACGTCATCGAGGAGTTTACGCCCATTCAGGGCCTCAAGGCATTCTTGTCCAAATATGTGGATGAGTCTGCCGTTTACAGAGGTCGTGCGCCGCACGACGATGACAATCCGCTGTCGCCGATGGGCCTGGAGGATAACTTTGGCGGTCCGAGCAGTGTGACTGGTGTGAGCGCGGGTGGTTCTTCGCCATTTTTGAGCGCCGGCATGCGTGGTCCGCAGTCCCCACGGGATAGTGGTCTTCGCTTTCCCGCACCCCATACGCCGCCCTCCAGCTCAAATCCGCACACACCGGCCAGTCCGCATCCCAGCGCTGGCGGAGGCGGCGGCGGTGGGGCTCAGAGTCATGCCAATTTTAATTTGACATCGCCACCAGCACCGCATATGCCGCATCCGTCACCTGGCGGACTGATGCCCTCATCGCCGCTGAATCCTCAGCCCAGTCCACACATGGTGCACAGTCCGGGACCCAATACGCTGTACATGCAAAGCCACCAGGATTCGCCTTTTACAGCCATGTCGCCGGCAAACAACAATTGGCCAGGATCGCCCAGCATGCCGCGCCCTTCACCCCGGCCCGGACAGAGTCCAGAGCACAAGAGCACAGGTGGCGGCGGCCCAGGTGTCGGCGCTGCCGATCGAAACGTCACTCGTGGCACACTCAACCGGCCCTGGGCTGGCGCTGTGCCCACGCTGCTAACGCATGAGGCACTCGAGACGCTGTGCCGTCCCAGTCCGCACCCCAACAAAGACATCAATGTGGCCGACATGAGTCCACTCGAACGCTTTTTGGGCTGTGTTTATATGCGCCGTCAGCTGCATCGCAACATCCAGAGCGAGGAGACATTAACGGCGCTCAACTCCACGGAACCGGGCGTGGTGCTCTTCAAGGTGGATGGTCTGCAGTGCCAGGTGATGCTCAACCAGCTGCACATGCAGTCGCTGCATCTGAAGGTTACCCAGTTGCCGCCCATGCCCGACAAGCCCACTTTCCAGCTGAGTCCCGATGATCTGCTCGTAATCGAGCAATACTTCGACACCCGGGTCGCTGCCCCGCCCTATCGTCCGAATGCGCTGCACAGCATTTGCCGATTGTTGAACCTGCCCGGTCATGTGCTCAAGGATTTCGTGCAGATCATGCGATTGGAGATGAAGCCCGAGCTCGGCGGCGATCAGCTCAAGTGGACAGTGCAGATGTGCATGCGCATGTCGCCCTCGGCGATGCCCATTGTGCCCATTGGCAGTGCCTGTGTGGTGCTGGGCCGCATGAAGATTCTGTTCTTCTTGCACATCACACGCATACCGTACAACGGCAAGGACTGGAAGGACAGTCCGTCCCTGGTGCTGCCCATTGTCCACGACATTGCCACAAATCTCACCCAGGTGGCCGAGCGGCGGGAGCAGGTGCAATCGCCCACAATGTCTGCTGCCAGCGCGCTGCTGCGTCGCTTTGCGGACTTCGGGGTGCAGCAGAATCAGTGCTCGCTCTTTCCGGCCGTCACAGAGCTGCTGACCAATCTGCAGATCACCACGGATCTGCCGCCGCCGCCGCCAAATCAGCCCATCGGGCCGCCTGTAGGTGTTGGTGTTGGAGTGGGCGTGGGTGTGGGCGTTGGTGTTGTGGGCTCTAGCCCGAATACGATGATGCCCATGCAGCAGCTGCAGCCGCAGGTCGGACATGGGCCGCAGCTTGGCCCGAATCCTGGCGGTCCTCAGTGATGAAGGCGCAAGCGCCGCGCCTCCTCGCAGCAGCCATGAGGCGGCATCCTGGCGCAATTGCGACCAACCCACTGAGCACACACAGACATACACAAATTCCCAATTATCATCCAATTATTTATTGATTAATACGAGACAAATTTCAACATTCACTTGCGATAACATGCGACGAGAGTCAAAATCAAGATCAAGGTATATATCCAGAATAAACAATACAATACACAATTATTGTAAAAAAAGATCCACTAAGTACATATGTAATAAATCACTAACTAACTGTAATGCTAACTACTCTAATCGTAAGAGCTGTTTTCTATAGGTTTTCCTTCTTTTCTTCTTTGTAGCTACATCGTTTATCACATGTGCCAGCTGTCTGGAGCTGTCGAGCGTTTCTGTGACTCTGCTTGCTCCGAGGTTAGTAAATATGGTTGCTTTTGGTTGTAGTTAATATACCCTTGCTGTGATATAGCATAAGCACTTAAAAAACAACACAAATCCACGTGGATAGGTGGAAAATGTGTGGAATTTGGAAAATAATTTGCATTCATATAATCTAAATTTTAATCCGATTAATTTTAAGCTAAGAGTCAATATGGTATATTGACAAATCAATATGCTTGAAAAGAATTCACGGCAGCGAGCGGAAAATAGGCGAAAAACGAATAGTTAAATTTTAAAAAACACGCAATGCCAAAAGCAAAATGTTAGCTATGATAAGATTTAGAACGAGTTCGTATAGCTTCATAGTATACACTAAAACCAGCCGAGCTCGTTTCACAATTTGTGCGCAAGGGTATAAAAGATTCGGCCATGCCGAATTAAATTACTCTTCAAACTGTTTTCGTTTTTGGCTTGATTGCTGCTGCACCTGCGCTCCAGCTGTTGCGTCTCACTGCTGTGCCACGATCTGAGTGTTGTCCAGTTGGGTGGTCAGCTCGGTGATGCCCTCCTCCTCGTCGGAGATGAGATCGACCCAGTAGCGGAGTCGCTTGCTGCGCATGTAGCTAGCCGAGTTGTCAAAGACAACGGTGTCTGTTAGGTAAGATGAGCAAGAAGTTAAAGTAGTCCGGAAGCAGGCAATGTGTCTACACTTACATGTGGTATTGGGTCGCGTGGAGATGAAGCCCGCCTCGTCCATTTCGTTGGAGTAGACGGTGCCGAGGGGCACTTCGCTGCGCTTCTCGCCCGTCTGCTCGTCCACGCTGTAAATGCCGAACTTGATGTCGTAGTCGTGGGTGCGGAAATTCCACGAGAGCAGCTGCTGCTCCAGTTGGCCATTCACCTTGAAGTTCAGCTTCAGCTTGTCGCCCTTCGGCACCTGGGCCTCGGTGAAGTTCTTGTCGCTCTGCTGGCTGCTCTGATCGATGTACAGCTCCTCGGGCAATTTGCCGCCCCAGATCATCAGGGATTTGCACTGCGGATCACCGAGCTTGTCAACGAGCTGACCACCCCAGCATTTGGGAAACTTCTGGGGATCAACGTGCGAGAAGAGCTGCTGCTGCCACTTGTCCGATCCGGATTTGTAAATGTGAATCTTGCTGGTCGTGTTCTCGTCCAGAAACTTCTTCACTATGTTAAAGGCCACCGAGAACAGCTTCGGTGCATTGATGATGTAGCAGCTCTTGAGCAGCTCCGGAAAGTTGGCCTCGTATTGCTTCACCGACGAGATGACACATTCGGCCGCTGGACGCCAGGCGAACTGCTTCAGGTTCATTCCCTCACAGTCAAAGAAGACGACCAGCTGACGCGCCTTCCAGCCGTGCTGCAGGCTCTGCTCGTAGGCGATCTTCATGAAGCGCTCCAGCAGCAGCACCAGATACTTTTGGAACTCGAAACGTGTGACGCAGTGCATCATGCCCCACATGTCAAAGTTATAGAACGGACAAACGATCACTGCGAGAAATGCTAGAGTGAGTTCCAGCTTTATATTAAGGAGAGTTTTTGTCACATACCTGGCGAACCTTCCTTGTCGTAGCCCATGATGCCATAGGGCAGATATTCGCGCAATGCCTGCGGTGCATCCCACTTCTCAATATTGTCCACATTCCACATGGCGCGCGTCTTGAGGCACTGTGCAAAGATAATGAAACATTAAAGATTCTGGATCAGATATATATTTGAGTCGGACTTACGGCCTTAAGCATTTTCTCTGCCGCATCCATGTTCCATTTGCGAGCTGTAGAAAGAGAGAAAGGGAGAGGGAGAGAGAGAGAGAGAGAGTTAACTGATGGTTCCTTGGTTCGACAACTTCACCTACCTCGCAGCCAGCGTAGCAGAAAGTAATCATCGTGTGTCTCGTTCAGCTCGGCGCTCATCACCTTGCGGAACTGCAATTGGAATAAATCAATTGATATGCTCAGAAAAGTATTTCTAATCCCCAACAACCTTGAATTGAGCTATTTCTGTTCATACTCTTTTAATCGCTCTATAAAACCCTAATCTTGGCCGTTAGCTAAACCGTTAATCATGTGATTCAAAGTCAATTGATCGACAATCGCAGTCTTAACTTTATTTCGCTTGTGGCCTGAAAAGTCGTTAGCCTTAATAACTGTGAATTTAGACTTGCATCATTGCCAATTTGCTAATACCCTATGCTTAAGCAGCGCGGGGTGTACCCAATTGCTGCATGCTAATTTAAATGAACTGTATTTTTCACGCGTAGGGTATATATGAATATCTAAACGGCGTATACCAGTTTGAATACCCTGCGTGCTATAAGGCATGGGGCATGCTGTGCGGCTTAAGTAAAATGTTGACCATAATATATAATTTTATGTATGATTTGAGTAGATGAGAACTATAATTGCAACTTGAGCCTTTTTATCAGTCTAATAATTATTAAATTCTTCTTTTAGGAATCTCAGGAAATTTTGTGTGGAAATGTTCTATATGGAATATATATTTGGAAGTCCCTGACACAATTAGTCTTGCTTAAATATATAAGGAAAATCGCTCTAAAAATTGGCCAAGGTAAGATACCTTATTTTAAAGCAAATGTGCTGTGAAAATGTTTTTTTTAGTTTTTTTTTTTTCTGAATAGTTAAAAATATTTCCGAATAGTTGAAAATATTTTGAAATAGTTGAAAATGTTTCTAAATTGTTGGAGTAATTTTCGTGCTTATACTTAGATAAGTCTTTTTCCCTAGTATGGGCTCCCTTTTGAAATTAACGTCTCTCTCTACGCACATAAACTTTTTACAGGGCATTTTCAAGTCGCCCAACTGCTTTCATCACACTTGCCAAACAGCTTCTAGTCAAGGTTTTGAATTCTTGCTTTAAAACTGTGACTCAGCAAATTGATTATTTTTGATTCAAGTTCAATCGAATTAACAGCAGAGCAGAGAATTTAACTGCATTTTGATGAAATTGTGGAATTGTGAACTGAAAACGATCCGCTAAATCGTGTAGATTCTTTTGCTTAGTGTTAAATTTATGAGTTATTGGATTAATGCAATTGCACAATATTTTAATGTCAATATATTTAACATGACGTTTCGTGTTTTGACTGTTTAATTGAGCGCCAAACGAGCCGCCAAAAGTGTGGGGCTTATTAACCACAGAGCTAGGCAAATACGCGACAATCACTTGGCTTAAAACCGCTTGGCTTGGCTAAGTTTAGTTCAGGCCACACTTGAAATTCAATAACGAGGCCAGCTGCCAGTTTCGAGTTGTTTTTTGTATTTTTATTTTTTCAGTTTCGGGCCTGAACTGCAGGCCAAGCTGCTTCTTTTTGTTGAGACGTGGTCATTTGGCTTTTCATTAGTTGGCGGGGAGGGTTGGTTGGGGCACTTGGCGGGGCTTTCATTAGCGCTGAGCATTTTTGGTTAACTTCCTCATAACTCAGTCGCCTTGCAGCTGCCTACTGTGTTCTTTTGTTCTTTTGTTTTTCTAAGCGACTTGACCAAGTTTTTAAACAGTCAGCAGCCAAAAAAAGAGGTAGTTGTAAAAAGAGGAAGGCTAAGAAAACATTTTGCTATTGCCTGCTAATACCACCAAAAATGTACGACTTAATTGGAATGGAATTGAATGGGATATTATTACTCATATATTAATTTCCCATGGGGAAAGTAACAATTACTCATTCAACCACATTCCAATTCGATAAACAAAGTATTTTCATTCCACGCAGTCATAAGATTGGGAAAGAAGTGTTTAAAAAGACTGCATTATTTTGATTAGCAAATGGAAGTGACCCTCTTTTAGGCTAAACATTATTAAAAGCATATAATTTATATATAAACTTAAGCTTTGGACTGACAAAATGATATATTTGCATGTCAGCCTTGAACTATAAACATTTTAAAACGTTCGTCTTTTATTTATTGCCATAAACTTTTTTTTTATTGTCCATGAGATTCGCAGCAATTGCCAATTATTTTCCAGCTGTTACGGGGTATCCTTCAGTCATTCTAACTGTCAATTCCCCAATAGTGTTGTCTAGATATGCAAATTTGGCCAGAGTGAAGCCCTTGACTGCTGGCCTTTTGCCCACTCGTTAGCTCCTTGGTATTAATCAAATATTGAAAGTATTCGCTTGACTATCTTACTCATTGGGTCTTTCCATGCCAAGAAACCAGTTGTTGAAAGCAAAGACAAGAGTAGAAAGCGTCAGACTAGAAGATACCCTGTAACCTGCGCCCTATTGCCTATTTGAATACTGAAATACACTTGACATATGTAAGCTAAGCGATGTCCTATAAGGCACATTTATTGTCTTCCAGCTTTATTTTCCCTGAGATGGGTTCAAAATGTTGAGAGCCAGTAATCGATATTTATTGATTTTAGAGAAATGGTGGAGTCATCTTGGAAAGTAAATAAATGTGCATGGAAATCGTTGATTAAATTAAATCAACTAAAAATCAATTATCCAGAACTTCTACTCCAAAATAGGCTTACATAGTCTCAAATAACCTTCTTTAATGTATCGATCGACTCATCTGTGGCTTCTGTTCATTCACATATATTCTTTATATGGTCGGAGATGCCTTCCTCTGCCTGTTACATACATTTGCACATATCCAATATACCCGCTTTTACACATTTATAATTGGTTCAGGGTGTACGCAAAACAGAACTCATTAGCATTTTGTAAGCACCTACCAGAACATATGTATATATATATATACATATATATCATATATGTGCATTGTTTTCGAATTGTTCGGTTAATCTTACTTCGCACTTGGTCAAAGGTTCGATGTGACAGATCACATTTTGCGATTAGTTAATGTCAGTTGTAATTGCGTTTGCCGTGCCATGAAGTGACATTTATAATTGTAGCACTTCATGCGCATTATGACTGAAGGGAGGGGTTACAGCTTTGGTGGGGAGGGAGGGGGTGTCACAGTCAATCCCAGAAAACATCTGCTCAGAATTTAGCCAAGGCAACAAGTGGCTTAGTGGGTTACGATTTGAACTTTAACCGGTTCGTTTTCCGTTACTTTTTTTGTTTATTTGGACAAATTTTGTGGGTCGTTGGCTTCGCTTAGTAATATGGGCGTGGCGTGGGCTGGCTCTATGCAGATATGCTGGCCTAGACAGCGTTTTTTTTTGAGCCGAGAACAACAACGTCAACAAAGCGCAACAGCTGCTGCAGCGAGTGCATTGGCCAGAACAAGTTGTTGTTTGTCATTTGCCCAGACGCCGCACAGTGTGGCAGCTGCATGCAAAACCGTGGACACTGTTTATTATTGCCAAGCTGGCACGCTCCATCGATTAGCTGGCGACAAATCGAACTCTTTTGAGCGCATTTCAAAATGCGCAATTTATCATATGCTTGGTTTTTTCTTTATCGCAAGGCCAAAGAAACCCGAGGAAGACGTTTGTTATGATAATGTGTGTGTATTTGTATTTAGTTATTTCGTAATGCAGTTTAAAACGGTAAAACCTGTTTGTTTAATAATAATTCCAACTCTTAATCAGAAGCTGTTTAACAAATAAGCATTTATTATGCATATTAGCAAAGTGTACGCCCACGCAGAGCGTTACTTTTGCACCAATGTGCAAGCGTGTAATAGATATTTCAAGAGAGAGCGAGAGTGAAAGAGAGTGAATCTTAAGCATTAGCCGCTAGGAGGCGCCTCTCTCTCTCGCGTTCTCTTTTAATTAACATCCGCAGCTCTCACCTGTTCCAATGTTTTGCGCTGCTCCGCGCTGATTTCGGGCAGTGGACCAGACATTATGTATTTAATTTATTTAAACAAAATTGTTAAAATGTTGCCAATTCGGTTTTTTATGCACACACACGAACACACAAAAACACCAATTTCTTTCTTTTTCGGTTATTGTGTTGTTGGGTTCACACGCAAAAAATGTGATGATGCTTCGGTTTTTTCGCTTTTTTTGGCTTTGACTTTGGCGTTTTGTTGGCTTAAAAATAATAACAATAAAAACTTTCTACGCTTGCGTAGCTCTTGTTGTTGTCGATCTGGCCAGTTGCATATTTTGAACGCAATTATTTTGTATTTTGTTATTTAACTTTAGCCTCAACACAGGCTGACCCTCATCTGAGCCGGTTAATAACAATAATTACAAAAGGCAACAGTTGCACGCACTAAACACAAGATGGCGCCAATTTGACTGTGAACGTTTGTCTTTTGTTTTTGTGTAATGAATATATGTTTGTGTTACACTGATAAACAGCCGCCGGAACTGAAGCGAACGGAACTTAATAACTCCCCCAATGCGTTGTGTTTGGCGAGCGACGACAAACTGAGCCGAAATTTGACGCAGCTTTGCTACTTAAAATGCTCGCATTGCCGCTCTCTTAGCGGCGAATCAGCGCCTGTTGAGCCAAAAGAGAGACGTCGGAGTTCTTTCGCACTCAGTTGTTGCTCTCTCTCGCTCTCATTCTCTCTCGCGAGTGCGCTGTTGAAGTGCAAATTGTCTGTTTTGAATATCAATTTAAATAATATATAAGGCTTGCTCTAAAGTGGGGTATAACTATTTTATCTGGAAACATGCCACATTACTGTACTCATTCTCTCTGCCCCCTTTCCGTTGCATTTATTCGCTCGTATAAAGTACTTTTGGCTTTTTATCAGCGAAGATTGCAGTTTATTGGCATTGTTATGGAAATATTTCTACCTATACGCGGTCAAGTGAGCTACTTTATTTTCGGTCATTGGTATTTGTTTTTTGCGCGTCGAGTGCGTTGGCTGTATACCAGCAAACATTTGCTTAACCGATAAGATAAGCAATAAAAGTCCATTTGAACTCCAGTCAGCAGTTCGTCATGACCGATTAGTGCAGTTTATGCTATCTCAATCAGCTGTTTGAGCAACTGCAAAGAAAACAGAGTATCTAAGAATTTTGTTGTTTCGGAAATAAAATTGTGTCTCCTTCGAAAAGTTCTAGCAGCATAAGGATTTCGAAAACGAACACCAGAAAGCGCTAAATTAATGCGTGGCGCTAAGTATGCAATATTTTTTTTGTTATAAATGAACAATAGATGGCGATCTGACTTAGAATCTGCATTGAAGAAAGTGTTTCATGTAATGAACAACAGATGCCGCTGGTTTAGGGTGAGTCGCGCGAAATAGAAATTTTTTAAAAGAAAGGGTCAACAATTTAATAAAATTACATTAAATTGAAATGTGTCTTAGAATATAATACTATATTGTGCATTGCCATATTTCGTAATGGGTATTTAATCTTCAACGCAAAGAAAAAACCGTTTTCTTTCGATTTTTTGTTATTTATTATCTTGTGTTATGCAATGCACAGAAACCGGCCGAATAAATCTTAAAGTGTACACAAAGTGTGCTTATTTTTAGTTGAACCTAACTACTTGTTATTCTTCATGACTGATTAATTTGTTTGTGGCCTCAATATATCCTGTGGCTACTGAAACGATCGGCTGCCCAAAATAGCGCAATTCATAGTATTTTAATAATCATAAATAGGTGTGCGAATATTTATTTGCCATTTTCTGGCATTGATTTGTGTTTTCGCCATGGGAAATGATTTGA